AAAAGGGAATATTGTGTGAAATGCTCAAAAGTTCCCTATGATGTGCGTCTGAGATTCGCAAATATTCTTAAAGAATATGATGAAAAGAAAGAAGGGAAGAAGAAATCTAATGATCCTATCATTGGTGACAAAGAGGATGATATGGTTGAGTTAGTGAGATCACACGCAACTAAAAATGTTAGTGACTTGATGAAGAAAGCTAAGGGAGCTGAATTTTTTGCTCCAAGAACCACTCATGGGTCGCAACCAAGCATCAAAAGTGCAATGGCTACTAAGGATGCAATTCATAGAGCTCATATGATTTGTGCAGAATTCTTCTATGAGAATTGCATACCTTTTAATGCAGCTAACTCAGATAGTTGGCAGAGGATGTTTGATGCTGCAATGGCTATTGGTCCAGGATTTAAGGTACCATCATATCATGATTTATGGGTGTCTTTACTACTTGATTGGAAGAGAGAAACCCAGCTAATTGTTGATCAAAACAGAGCCGTTTGGGGTCAGCGTGGGTGTACTTTAATGGCTGACTATTGGACTAATCAACAAGGTAGAAGTTTGGTCAATCTATTGGTCTATTGTAGTAGAGGTCTTTGTTTTCTTAAATCTGTTGATGCAATAAAGGTTGTGAAGAATGCAAAGAACCTTTTCAAGATATTTAATGAAGCAATTCAGTGGATTGGCGTGGGCAATGTTGTTCATGTGGTCACTGATAATACAACTAACTACAAGTCATGTGGTAAGATTATTCATAAGACTTATCCACATATTCATTGGTCTCCATGTGCAACTCATTGCATGAATTTGATATTGGGTGATTTTGGAGATTTGGAGAATGTGAAGGTTGTCATTCAAAAGGCTAGAAGAGTCACTGTGTTTGTTTATAATCATTCTCCTGTGATTAATTGGTTGAAAGCAAGGCCAAATTGGAAGCAAATAGTGAGACCTGGTTCAACTCGCTTTGCTACTAATTTCCTCTCCATGAAGAGTGTGTATGAGCACAAGGTTGATTTACAAGCTTTAGCAGTGAGTGAGTTCTTTAATGTAGATGAATCATCTAAGACTGCAAAAGGAAAGGCGGTGAGTGCTATATTGTTAGATGCTCAGTTTAGGGGTGATTGTTTGGAGATGGTAAATGTGGCTCAACCAGTCATGAAGTTGCTGAAGCTTGTGGATTCAGATGAGAAGCCCACTCTTGCTAGGAAAGAGGTATGTGATGAATAACAAATATGTTTGATTTGAGTACAAAATATTTTTGCTATGAAATAGTGACATATTTGACTTGTATTTAATCATTCATAGGTCTCGTACTAGAAAAAGTAAGTTATTGGTTGATCCATTTGACTATTAATGGATTAATGCCACTGAATTTTGGTTATGGATGAGGAAGAGGGTCCAACTCCAGATCTTAGCTTTATGAGTTGGTGCAAGCTATGGGTGATAATAATGCTAATGACATTTCTGAAGGAAGTGGAACTACAAGCAGGAAAAGAGGTCGCAATGAAGGTTGGATTGACATATTATTAGTAAATGAAGAATGTTCAACTTTTATATATTTTTAACACATGATTTCTAACATATTTTTCTTTAATTATTAGATGATGATGGAGATGATGGTAGCACAACAATTGGGATGGCGTCTTCAAGCAGTGATTCATCTGATGCTAGTGATGGTGAATGAAATGATGTTGAAGTTGTATTTGATAGTTGTTTGAGTTTGAGACTTTGAGTGGTTTCCATGTTTGAGACTCTTGTTTCATGTTCATACTCGTGTGATATTAGTTTTATTTGTAACAATGTGGTGGTTTGGAATTGAATTTTAGATATTTCTGTACTGATGTTCTAGAATGGTTTAAGAGAGTAATTTACTTGTGGTTTACCATGATTAAGAAGTGTCCACTATTTATACAGATGACTGTTTATTAGGTACCGGTTCTCAAACGGGTTTTAAATGGTTTAATGCCAGCTGGACCACTAAAGACCGAGCCGTTCACATTACCGGGTCATACTCCGGTTTGGTTCTGACAACATTGCTAATTGCTGACCTAGCACTTACGAAACTAATGAGCCCCAAAGTCATGCATCTTCGTAGTTTAATTCTCATACATGGTATGATATGAGGTGGTTTATCTAGTGGATTTTTGCCCAATCAGTTTGTGCAGGGTTTTATATAAAATCCTTTCAAAGGTCCTCGCCAACAAAACTAAAGGAATCTTAAATGAGGTCATTACAGAATATCAAAGCGCTTTTGTTCCAGGAAGTCTGATTACAAACAATGTAATGATCACATTTGAGTGTTTCCATTCTGAAGTGTAGAAACCAAGGAAGGAAAGGGTTTATGTCAGCTAAACTAGACATTTCTAAAGCGTATGACAGGGTTGAGTGGTCTTTTTTGGAGGGCGTAATGAGGAAGTTGGGTTTCGATGACAGATGGATTGCAATGATCATGACTTGTATATCGACAGTATCTTATTCAATACTAGTCAATAAACATAAAACGGAAACCTTTTTCCCATCAAGAGGGCTTAGACAAGGAGATCCCATATATCACCCTATATATTTCTCTTTGTAGTAGAAGGGTTATCAACACTACTTTCATAGGCTGAGAGGGATAAGAAGATTAAAGGAATACGAGTCAAAGGGGACGCTACGCCCATATCTCATGTACTATTTTCAAATGATAGTGTGTTGTTCTCTAGGGCAACATAGTCAGAATGTGAAGAACTACGCAACATTTTTAAGCTCTACGAAGAGGGATCATGACAAAAGGTAAACCTAGTTAATTCTGAAATATCCTTTAGCCCTAATGTAGATGAAGCTTTGAGGCAGGAATTGGTGGATGTTATGGGGATGAAAGCAGTAGAGTATCATGCAAAATATTTGGGTTTACCTACGATCATGGGAAGGCAGAAGAAGGCTATATTTTGCTACTTAGTGGATAGAATTCGCAAGAAAGTGAAATTATGGAAAAGCAAGATATTATCTTATGGAGGCAAGGAAGTAATGATTAAGGCAGTGGTTCAAGCTCAAATGACCTATGTTATGCAAGTCTTCCTGGTACCACAAAATTACTGAGGAAAAAAACTTGTTATCTAATTTCTCGTGGGGGTAAAAGAGGCTAGAGTTTAGAACAGACTGGATAAGTTGGAAGGAGCTATGCAGATCAAAGGAAAAAGGCGGGCTGGGATTCAGAAATCTGCACGAATTCAACCTAGCCCTACTTGTCAAGCATCTTTGGAAGATAATCCATAACCCTATGTCCCTGGTTGCACGAATGTTCAAAGCTAAATATCACCCTAACAGAGACTTACTAGAGGCAGAACTGGGACACAATCCAAGTTATGTGTGGCGAAGTATTCTTGCTGCTAAAGAAATCCTGAAGGAAGGTCTTAGATGGAGAATCGGGAATGGGATTAAGCTGGATATCTGGATTGATAAATGGGTTTCCACTTCCTCTACACTAAAGGTCTTATCCCCCAGAGACACAATTCGCACAAACCACCTCAGTTAGCGAACTCATAGATGCAGAGACAAAAGTTGGAAAACAGACATTCTACGGACTCATTTTCATCCACAGGACAGGCAACACATTTGCAGTACGTCTATTCCTTGAATCCCTACTGAAGACTGCAGAATTTGGAGTCATGAGAAATCGAGCATTTATTATGTGAAGTCGGCCTACCATCTTTGGCTCAATATACAGGAATGGGAACTGGGTGAACTCTATACCCCTATCAATTGGAAACGATTCTGGAACCTCTCCATCCCACCGAAAGTGAAAGTGTTTGGTTAGAAATGGATTTACAATATTCTCCCTAGTCCCTATAGGGGCAAACGTCTTGGATAGAACTCAGAAAGGGTGTAGCGAATGCCCGTTTTGTGGACAGATGGACACCCATATACATTTATTTCGAGATTGTGGATGGGTTCATCGATTCTGGCATCCTACTTTGCTAAACCACCTATTCGAGAAGGGAGTAGATCTTACCTGTGAAGAATGGATGGTGTCGCTGCAAGAATCGGAGCCTGATGATGCAATCGATCAATTTCTGGTGGCCCTTTGGTTTATCTGGGATGAGAGAAATAGCCAGATGTGGAATAAGAAGAAGATGGAAGAGTACGAGATAATCAATCGAGCAAACAAATGGCTTTTGGAGTACCTGCAACACCAATCCCTTTCGGCGGCGTCTCTAACAAGACCATATCCGCGTTAGGAACCGCCGACTGGTGCAAATTTCAAGCTAAATGTCGATGTTGCCTGTTTGGATGGAGAAGGAACAGGTTTCGGGGTGGTGTTGAGGTACAAAAGCAGGAATTTTTGCTTTGCAACAGTTCAAAGAACTAGGGTTCAATGGAAACCCGAAATGGCAGAGATTAAGGTGATCTGGTTTGGGATCAAAATGGCGGAGAAATGGGGTTTGTTGGAAGGTGAGGTCGAGACAGACTGCCTCCGGGTTGTTCAACAGGTGGCAAAGGAAGAAACTGGAATAACAGAGAAAGGGGTGGCATGTGGCGAGCTAGCAGAGCATCTGAAAGAATTGGGCTCATGTACTATTAGGTTCTCGGGTTGAACTAGCAACCAAGTAGCCCACATTTTGGCCCACACTTAATGTGATTTGGAGGATACTGAAATCTGGCAATCCCGGCCCCCTATATTAATAGTTTCTCAGTTAAAAACTGATTCCTTTACTATTTCACATTAATGGAATAATACAGGTTATTTATATAAAAAAGTGTAAATACTATTTTTTACCCAAACCTTTTTAGCAATCTCAAATATTAGTTAAACCTTTGAAAATACAAAATAATAACCAAACATTAAGTCTCTGTTAACATTTTTCTTTAAAAGATGGTGAGGTGGCAGATGTGATGCTAATGTGAAATAAATATTATGACATGGCATTCAAAAAAATATCACATCTTCCACCAAAAAAAAAAATTCCACCAAAAAAAAAAAATCACATCATCCTTTGTTCAACAAAAATAAAATGAAAAGAAACGAACAACAACTGGCTGAAATTGAAGGGTGCTTCCTCACCCGCTTTTTCTCATCCTTCTGCCTTCGCCTCTGCCTCCCGCGATACCCACCCCACCACCACTTCGCATCATCGGAAGCTACTGCCTCACCACTACCTCTACTCAACAAAATCGGATCCACATTTAACGAAATTTTGTCCAAGCATAAGTGTTGGCGCCCTCTCCCGCCTTCTGCTGCCATTGTGATGTTAGCCGGAGTGTTGTCGCTGCAGTGAAGCATGGTCCAGCTTGGGTGTGCGGCGGCGCCGGCCGCCGTGACTCTGATGACGGCGTGCTAGCTTTTGGACTCCTTTTTGCATAGTTCCGTCCAATTGAATATGGGGTTAAGGATTCAAAATTGAAATTTGTGGGATATGGGGATTTTCAGTTTAGGGATTGTGTGGGAATTTCATATAATGGTGATTGATGGTCTGCAAGGAATGGAAGTCCCTAATTTCCCATCCAATCCGCTTCAACCGCCGTTTCGTTTCCCACCACCAGAGCAGGAACCGGCAACCTGTTCTCCTTGTACACTCAGACGACCCGCAAGCGATCATCAGCAGCTTCATCCCCATGGCTAATCCATTTACCCAAAGCTCCTTCGAAGTAATCGACTCTTACAAGGACATGGTTCTGTGCGGGTTTGCGGATGTGGGTCCCGCCGGCTGCGATGGCGGATTTTACAGAGAATTGTACCGAACGTACTTCATCTGCAATCCGTTTACGAAGCAGTGGGTCGCCCTCCCTTTGGCGCCAGAATTGCCAATTGATTGTGGACACTTCTTTACAAGGTTAGTTTGCGAACCCCAGATGTCTAATGATCTTGATCTAGGAGAGGACCAAGTGTTTGCGTATTCTTTTGAGTATCGATTTCGAGTGGTGTGTCTATACCGGCATGCGGGATGTACAAAGATAAATATGTTCTGTTCGGATACCGGAGAATGGATGAAGGACATTCTTGTTCTTCATGACTATCATCAATTCGTAACCAGAAATGTAGTTTCCTGCAACGGGGAGGTGTTTTGGTGTTATGGCGTTCCAAACCAAGATCCTGGTGCTGTGCAGAACCCGATGAAGCCTTTCATTGCTGCTTTTAATCCTTTCCGGCCTGATATACCTCCCACTGCTATTGAACCTCCTATACTAGTCTTTCGGAAACCTGGGTGGGATATTTCGTTCTCACAAGGTACCGTGCACGTGATTGTATTCGGAGGTCGAATTCAACCGGGTCGTTCACAGATCGCATCGAGTGTGTGGAGACTGGAAGAAGACCGTAAATCTTGGGGGAAAGTATGTGATGGGTGGTTGAAGGGACCAAGGTTGTGTGAACTTCGCACCTATGCTCGACCTTGTATGCATCCAGAGAAGCCGCAAGTCTTCTTCCTCCGTCATTCTGATGGTATTGGTGAGGTTTCTGTCTTGTCCTGCGATTTGGGGGTGGGGGAAGAGCTAAAGCTCTTTTCTGAAGGAAGATCATTCTTAACTTATTGGAATTTGTTCCAAGCTGAGCTCGCTTGCTGGCCGACTTCGATTCCGAGGTACAAGCAATTGCGAGTTATGTACGATGGAAGCTACAGCTGTTGGGTTCAGAGCAACAAGGAACCTGCAACGACTCCTCCAATAGCTGGTACTTACTTTTGAGCAAGAAGACTTGATGATTTCGAGTGATGTTTGGAGCAGCATCGTTTTTTTTTTAATGTGCGCCTGTTACTGCTTGATCTGGTTTTTCATTTTAGTACCATTTTGTCGTAGCTACTGAATCAGTTTTTTCCTCTCAAGTGGCATTTTGTCGTAGTGCCATGCTATGGTTGTATCTTCTGTCGTTGTCCGTCTTTGTTTAGAGTTTTGTAGTTGCATGGTGTGGTTGTAACTTCTCCCTGGTAGCCGTGTCTATTTGCTGTGTAGATCTTTCGTTGGGTAGATAGGCTTCGTCTTCTATTCTATTGAGCTTGATTCTATTGTACTCTGTTAGTGCTGTCCCGGAAATTACTAATTTAATTGATTTCCTACATTCTTGTGCTCATTTGTTAATGACAGATTTTCTCATGTACTATTTTGTCAAGCCATTTCAGGTACCTTCGCAATGGCATCTGCAAAAGTTGATGAGGTACCAGTTGCTCTTCGTGCTCTCAAGGCTGTGATTTCGGATGAACTTTCTGAAGTTGTAGAGCCAATCATCCAACTTCAACATGTTCCTGATCTCGTCGTGCGTGCAGTGGTTTTCTATCAGCGACAGCTGTTACAAAAGCTTCAACTTCTTGATTCTGGAATTGTGGCCAATGATGTTCAACTGGTTTCCCGTTTTCTAGGAATTGACCGCGGAAGTGTGTTATTAGCTTGAGTGTTTGCTAAAAGAAACTCCTGAATAATTCTGGTCTCTTTTTGCTATTGTTTATTTGTTTAATTGTTCAGTGGTTATTGTTAATGCAGGTGTTGCTTTCAAATCCGAGTGCAACGAGGTTTCTCACTTTCTAATAGATTATCATCATGATGACGCGACCTATAGAGCAATGTCTGTATATCGCGTACACTTGATGCAAGCAATGAGAGGATGTAAAACTGAAGTCGGGGCAAGTGATAAGCAGCTAAGTGGAACTGCTGCACAAACCATTCAAGGTAAATAGGTTACCCCTGTTTTGTTCATGCATTTGGATACACTTATGACTCTTGTTTAGTAGTCCTAAATGTTGGTTTTTTTAGGCAGATTTGCTCAGCCAACTGCACTTCAGAATGCTGCTCTTAATGCTGCTGCTGATGCTCAAGGTGAATGATTCATGATCTTTAATGTTGCATTATGTTTTGATAAAAAGCTTCATGTATTATTCTAATTTCTTACCTTTGTGTATTAGTCTAGGTGCTAGTGCATAGTTGGTGGTGTCGCAGAATGCTCATCCTGGTGCATCTGTGGATGGAGTTCGGAATCCTATTCTGACGCAGAATGCTTCTTTGAATGTTGCTGTTGCTGGAAGTGTGAATCTAAACGGGTTAGAGTAGTAGCAGCCGCAACCTGTAGAGCATATGATAGAGCAGTAGGGCACAGTTCAGTTCAGCCCTCTGGTATGCATATATATGTAACCTGTATTGAGGGAGCCGTAACTTAAGGAATAAGATCTTTAGCTCTTAGACTCAGAACTTCCACATGGACTGATCCCAACCCTTTCGGAATCCCTTCTACATTGGGACCTGTGGTTCTTATCTCCTGGATCAAGAGAGAACTAGAAGAGTTATGGGAAGGAAGTACCCTACTCTGAGAGTCGTCATGTAAAAGACCAAGTAGTGATGATTCAAGTGGAAAGAAGGCAAGTTTGAGAGCCACACAGAGACTTATTATGATGAAGAATTCTCTCTGTGTTGGTTGTCAAATTTTTAAATCTTGGTTGATGGATGCATATTATGACCAATTGAGAATTGAAGAGGGACGGTTGTTGCAGCTTGTGTTAAAATATGTGTCGTTTCCCTGCTGTTATGTATACTAGCGAGATCATTCTTTGGTTTGTTTATCGGTAAATTATAAGCAACATCTTCTCTTTATGCATACTGTACTGTCTTGCTTGATTCTGTAGATCTGTGTAGTTGTGCACTATATCATAGCATCTCTAGAATGACCATTTGCAATACAAATGCGTGTAATGAATACACAAACCATTAGCTTCATTGATTAAGAAGTTATCAGCATATCAGATCTCTTCATGCATCATGTTAAGTGTAGAAATGAATGAATGGTTTATGTTGTTCCAACCTTCAGACTCATGCAAAAGAGATCAATCGAGTCATTGGATTGGATGAGACGGTAGCACCTATCTCTCTTTCCACCCACCCGTTGGCTCACTTCTGAACTTGTCGAAACAGCCTTTGTGAGCATGTATGAGACGGTAGGGTTGGAACTCTCATAGTCGGCTTGCATTTCTTCTTAATTTTCTTAGTTCTGTGCATTAATACTGTAGAAGTGAGGAAGCAAATTTAGTGGAAGTGAAGGCTTAGCTTGTCTCATATAATACAATATTGTTTTCCTCAAACAACGTTGAATTTATATAAATTAGAACATTCAATCAAGTCATTGTTAGTATGCACTTGACTATCTTTCTTTCATATTCGACATATTTAGTCTCGTACGAGTGTATCATATTGAAACGATTTTGTTATTATGTTTGTAGTTATTTAAATCAATGTTGTTTTTCTTTCCACAAAAATCAAATTAATGAATGGTTTTAAGTAGTTGGAAACAATGTAGCATTCTCTTTGAGTAATCATGAATGAAAATGCATGGGTCATTTGGCAACCATATATTCTATTACTTAATTTTCAGAATACATGGTTCTTTTCATGTTGCACGAAGTTAGGGTAAACTAGTTCGGGTACCACTAAAGTATGAGATTGATGGAACTATACCACTTAAAAGAATAGGGCATCACGTGTCACTGAACTTTATTATATGTGCACCTAGTATCACTTAAGTTTACTGCTATATGCACTTGTTTGGAGACTAATACCATACCAATTTTTGAATAAGAAATTTAAAATCAATTATCATTATGTGTTCTAATAATTGAATTATTCTCTGAAGCAAATATATCATATGAATTCTATTTAGTTGGAATCCTCTTTTGAAGACTGTGATACCAAGCCAATTTTTTAATAGAAATTTAGAATTAACTATCATTATAAGTATTTTCAATAATCAATATCTTTTCTAATTATTGAATTATTCTCTGAAGCAATTTTATCTTGTGAATTTTGTCTCGATATAAATAATTTGATGATGTTATATTTAGTTCTCTTACATCATATTGATGTTATCTAATTTACCACGTTAAATTTTCTTGTAATTCTCTAAAATTATATTGTAGATGTTACATATCAGCCAAATTTACTAATTCTAATTCTCTTCCTATAGTCATATTTTCTTTTCTAGATTTGTAACTGAATATTGGAGATTCGTTCTAAAAATTTTCAATTATGGAATATGTTTTATTCTTTCTTATTGTGTTCCATTTATCCTTTTTTTGTCTTGATATACTGATGGTCGATTAGGCTCTATTTTAAATTTGTTTAGCTGTGCTTCTAACTGGATTAGAGGTTTAACTATAACTTCTAATATTGATTTTAACTATTTATTATTATCTTCAAGTGTATTTATTATTCCTTCTTAATATTCGTTTATTATTTTTTCTAATTTATCTATTTTTGTGAAAGATTTTTATTAGTCATTCTAGTAATGCTATGTTTATAAGGTTTTCTAATTTTTTAATTACATAATAATTTTGAAATATAGTTTTGACTGTTTTTAAAAGTTTTGGGTTGGATGGAAAACTAGACAGATGCACTTTTTGACGAATTTAATGGTACCTGACGCCTTACTCAAACTTCAGTGGTACGTCTATCCCAATTCTTAAACTTATGTGGTACCCACGAACAAGGGTTTGGTCTAGTGGTAATACCACTAGCTTTGAAACTAGAGGACCCAGGTTCAAATCCCTTCAGTAGTACCTACCTAATCATAAAAAGTAAACCTATATCACCCTTATCGAAAAAAAATAAACTTATGTGGTACCCGAGTTACTTTACACATAAAGTAACACAATGAATGCCAATATGAAATGTGCAATACTTTGTATCCAACGTCGACCAATTCATCCAATTATATGAGACTCATATTAATTATTATTAATTAATTAATAGCACAAAGATAAATGCACTATTCCTCACGAAATTGTCTCCCTCGGACACTGTTCATTAGTGCTAGTATTAGGTGTGAGAGATTTTTCCAATAATAGCACGTTTAAAAAAAATTTACAAAACTAGCACCCATCCAAAATAATTAACAAAAATAGCACTAATTTTAATGGAACGCACCCCTAAGGTGCGTTTTATAAGTAAACCGCACCCCACAGGTGCGTTTTACTTATAAACTGCACCTTAGGGGTGCGTTCCATGCCACGTCAGCACAGGAAACGCACTCTGAAGCTGCGGTTTACTTACTCTGTGGAACGGTCTTCTTCACCGTTGGATGGGGGAGTGATCAGAGGGCGGACCGCGCGCCACGGATCGGGGACCGCACCTGCAAGGAGCGGTCAAGCCTTGTGACTCGCAAACCGCCTCGGCAAGGCGCGGTTTCTGCTCTGGCAAAATTACCAGACCGCCCCTGGAGGGTGCGGTCTGTTGGGTCCCCTTCCCCTCTCATTTCTTCACACCACAACCCATTCTTCCTTCTCTCTCTAGAATTTATCTCTCTAAACTCTCCCCTCCCAAAACCCTAGGAAATAGTGGTCTGTTGGTTGCGGCTAAGTCCGATCTGCCATCAGAAAACATTTCTTAGGTTTTTTCCTCAAAACCCGCCGAGCCGAACCTCTGTCCGAATTTCCCGAAAAAATGGCTGATTGGTGGCAAGGAGAGGGAGTTTATGTCGATGAATTTCAAGTGGTACGTACTCATTATTCTAGTTTAATTTTTGTTTTTGTTATAAGCTTTTTAATTAATCTATGTACTAACCTCGTTGTTATTTTCTCGTAGGTTGGGAAGGACGTGGATATATACAACCAACGGTATTATCTCGAGCAAGGACCGTTGGATCCGACCGACTTGTACGACCAACCCAACCATCGGTCAAGGGATGTTTGGAACGATCACTCGGTACATACAATTCTTCACCATTTGTCCTTCTTTTATTTTGTTAATGTATTTAGTGGAATATAAAATAAATTTATGATGATTTTTTAATCGTGTTGGTTGTTTTCAATAATTTAATCGAATACATAGCGCCACTTACTTCGACTCTTTATAAAGAGATGCACGTCTAAGGAAATGAGGTTTTAAGCGATTATCATATCCTCCCATTACCTGGGAAAATCGGGTATTAAGAGAACCTCGGATCCTCCCTTTTTTTGTCAAAAAGACTGTGTTTCTAAGAAGATGTATACCTCTTCTAAGAGTCTAATGAGTGTTGCTCTGTATTCGATTAAATTATTTAAAACAACCAATACGATTAAATTATTTACCAAACAGCCAATACGATGTATTTTTAAGTGTACAAAAAGAATTTTATTAATTTCAAACATTTGAATATGTATGTTTCTCTTTAAATTATTATTCATTAACAATGTTATTTATGTTAATTAATTTAGTATGTTTGTTTTACGATAATATGTATGTATCTCTTTAAATTATTATTCATTTAGAATGTTATTATGTTAATTAATTTAGGATGCTTGTTTTATGATAATATGTATGTATCTCTTTAAATTATTATTGATTTAGAATGTTATTATGTTAATTATATGAAATGTCTTTTTATGATAATAAAATTCTGCTTGAAGTTAAATAATTTAATTAATTATAGTTATAAGAAAAAAACCCTTACTAATATATAATAATTAACGTGTAAATTTCGCTAGGAGGCACAAACAATACTCCGCTACAGGGGTACGATCAATGTGCTCTCATTCCACCCAGCTATCTTGCCCTTTCTCAAAAGGTCACAGTTGGACTCGATTAGGCATTTTAACGGCATCAAAGTTGATCGCCAACTCATCACCGCATTAGCCGAGAGATGGAGAAAGGAGACACATTGTTTCAACTTTAGAGAAGGAGAGGCCACCATCACGCTAAAGGATGTCGCCATCCTAACCCATCTGCCCATCGAAGGCAAAGCGGTGTGCGTGAGTGATCATCCCCCCGAGGATCGTGACGGTATGCCCGGTTGGGTTCATTTCATCCACAGTGTTTTGGGAGTGAAAGTACCGGTGAAGGGGTACGTTGATGCGACCGATCGCATGCCACCAATGAGGAAACACCAAGTCTCAATTACTTGGTTGACGAAGTATTTTAGAGACCATTACGAGAGTCATCCCCTAACCGAGGAAAGTCCGGAGGATGAGAAGGAGAGATATGCTCGTGTCTATCTCATAGACATGATCGAAGGAGTGTTCTTCTCCAAAAAATCAAGCAATCTCCTTAGTTGTGGATGGCTTAGGATCATCCTCGGTAGTTGGGAGGAGATGGGGGAGTATAGCTGGGCATCCGCTTGCCTAGCTATGATCTACCACAACTTGTGCAATGCGTCTCTCAAAGCAGTGAGGGAGGTCGGCAGCACAATGTTCATCGTCCAATTTTGGGCTTGGGAGCATATGCCATGGATTGCACCGGTCCAACGTCCCGACAGAGATTGGCCAATCGATCATCCCCTAAGAGGTGAAGCTTATGGTACAAGGTAAACTTCTCATACCTAACCATGTTTTTTCAAAACACATTTCCCTTGTGTTTTAGTTTATTGTAGTTTCATTATTGTCTTATCAATAAGGTGGCTCGGACATACAACATACGACAACCTTGCCCAACACAAGTTGGACGAGTATCGGAGGAGGTTTGAGCGACTTTGGGAAGGAGAGGTAACTTCTATACTTCGATCCATTTATATCTTTTTTCCATGGGACTACATGTATTTTTCCAATTTTGACTAACTTAAGTTACTCATTTCTTTCTTGTAGATCGTCTTCGATCCATACCCGGAGAACATCGTTCATTGGCATCTCCAGCAATTCCCCGGTCA